CCACTCGCGCTTGTTGGATATGAGATGATTATAGCCAACTCGGCGCTTAGCGCCTCGTTGGCTATCTATCATCTCATATCCAACGCGCGCTCGTGGAATAATTGTTAATTAGCTCTCTTGTTACTTTTAGCTCTAGTTAGTTGCATCTATTTCCTGTAAACATGACCCACCTAGATTAGCTTAGCTACCCGCATGCAGGCATGTTACTGTACTTTTATCTTAAAACACAATAAAATGTATGTGTGCATGAATGTATGTATGTAGGTATGTCTGCATGTATGTATGTATGTATGTATGTAAATATGAAAACAAGATCAAGGAGAGGAAGATGAAAGAGAAGTCTTTGATTGGATTTTCATAATTCTAGGCCATTTCGAAGGCTCATGGCCAAAACATTCTCCACGTCAGGGAAAACTGGTGGATAAACTACGATTACTGCAAGCCTTCCGAGTCCTAAAGCCGGGTAGTGAAACTCCATCTTATTTCTTAGTTATCGGACTCACATAAGTTTCCTCCAAAGTACTTAATAAGCTTATACGGTACCGGTGTGCTTTTTCAGAGGACTCTCTATACTGCATGGAGAAAGACGATGTTCGCTTTCAAACAATGTGCTGCCATTACCTTAGTGACTCCCCATGTCAGGACGTGCTGCTTGGAGCAGAAGAGTGTCAGAGTCCATTTGGATCGTACGAGCTGACCATACCTGTAGATGAAGACGTGGATTGTCGACCTGACAATTCACAGTTAACAAACAAGAATTGCAAAGAGTTTGACGTGAGTTTATTTATCATTTACAGTGTGGTTGGGGGGGGGGGGATCGTTTCGAATCTTTCAGAGCTACATTAGTTTGTGCTCAAAGCCGATTGCAAAAAGTACTGAATAGTTTTTGATAAGTTGGGAACATCCACTTATACCCCGAGTGGGACATACAAAACACTAGAACAGACGCCGTGAGATGAAATAGTTAACCAAAGGATCGGACGTTCCGAGTATAACTGATTATACTTCACGATAAAACTTAGCCTATACTAGTATTATAGAGGGTAACATGGCAACTACAATCGTGACTGTAGTCTATACTGCATGCAAGTGTAATCGCAACTAACTGACAGCAAAACCTGTAACACTTACCTCTAGTCTATTGAAACAACCACGCAAACAACTTTTGAGACTGAATATTTCGTATGTAAAGGGAAATACCCCTCTTTTTTAATCAGACAAGCATTTATAGCAGTTCACTCAATGGATTTTTTTCACGGAGAGAACCTACAATTGAACGTTTGAGTCATTCTTGGTGGACACATGCCCGACATGAAATTCCAAGTTCTTGTCTTTCTTTATTTATTTTTCCAACTTATACCTCTCTCATACTTGCTTTTAGTTGATTTAATGACTAGTTGTATTTTCCGCAGAGGAGCATCTTCACGAATATGAACGTATGGACGCATTATTTATACTGGTCAGACAGATACCCAACTGGACCAAATGATGAGAAATGCGCTAGTCACTCAAGAGCCAGGTCTCAAATTCCAGAATCTGGGCTTCTCTAGCTCTAGAGCAGAACTCCTAAGGCGGCACAGGGAATAAAAGATGGCTGCTCAATAAAACTTTGCTGATAATACAATGAATACAATTTTTCTAGTGCTTATCGACAACGTGGGGCATGGAAACAAGAACTTTTAATAGTATGTGTCCATCTCACACCTGACCATCTGAGCAAATTAGAATATTTGTCAAATGATATAATTTGATTTATTTGAAAAAACTCAACATCGACTTGGTGTCAAAAAGGGTAAATGTTTCTACACAATTCATTGTGAATTTAAAAAAAATAACAAAAAAAAAAAACAAGCAAATGAAACAAAGACACGTATGTCGTACTGCTGAGGGAACAGTTTTCAATTTTCACCTGGGGAAGAGAGTCGGAGGATTTCGGTTCTGTCATGGTTCGTGACACGGTCATGGTTCGTGACACGGTCGTGGTTCGTGACACGGTCATGGTTCGTGACACGGTCATGGTTCGTGACACGGTCATGGTTCGTGACACGGTCATGGCTCGTGACACGGTTCGGTTCATATCATTTAGTCACGGCTTCGCCCATAAGGTTCCTAAGATCCACCATCATCGGTAGGTGATCGCAAATCAACTGATGCCCCTCTATTTCCCCTAAAGAACCATGTGAACCTCCCCCACCCGTCCACCAGCGATAAATAATGACTGTTTCTAAACTAACACACTCACACTTCCTTTTTATGCTTACGTTAAAAATCTTCCAAAAACCAAATATCATACAAAAATCTGAAATAGGCATTGCTTTTCAGTATTGGCTGGGGAATGGTTAATTCCTAAGGACAAAGCTTCAGAAATAGTTTAAACTATTTTTAGTGGGATAATCTTGTGTATCACACTCTTTCGTGCGACACTCGGATACTTGGGAGTTCGAAAATCTCCCAAAGTTCCCTCGCCCGTCAGCACGTCATTGCAGAGCAAGAAAACTCGCTGAGTGCATTAATGAGTTACTTAAGCTCTGGGAGGTAAAGAAGTTGCGGCATTCTCATTACGTCACAAAAATATAAAAAATATTTTTGAATTCGAGTACAAGAAAGCCGTCTTTAACAACCAGGTAAAGCTCTTATGAACGATGACAAGCATGTCTTTCACCACATGTAAAACCCCATTCATACTAGTCCTGCATTAATTATTTTTTAACATAGCAATCTGCTCAAGACGTTTTTTTAGAGTAATTCATGGGAGCCAAATAACCTTTTAAGGAAAGCATTTGCTCAGGTCGGACATCATCTCGTAGAGCCAGTCACTGGTCAGGTTCCTTTTCAAAAAGGATAAGTTATGCGACGATTACTGGTATTTGTATCTCTTACGGTTCTGGATCTTATATATGGTAAAGGTAAGAGGCTACAAAGTGATATGTCTCCTATCTTACTTAAGGACGAGTTGCTAAATCTAAGAATCTCTTTCTCGCGTGCTGCGCTTGTTTACGAGTGTATAGGGGTCGAATAAAAAACAAACTATTAGTAACCTAAACGCCTTCTCAAAGAGAAAAAACAGAGAGTCTCAAAAACTGAACGCTTCTTCTGATAATTATTTATTTCTAGATTTTCGTTTAAAGTGTAGTCGGTAGTAAATATTATCCCAATATTGGTTCAAGCTGTTGCTACTATTTTCAACCTCAAACTAAGTTTTTTTTCGCTAGAGAAAATTGTATTTCGGTGAAATTTTTGACGTACCAGTCTAAGAACTTGAAGCATTGCTTCAAAAAGACAAGGTAACATCATTAAGCAAATAAACTATTTATTATGGCTTAGTTCAGGAAAAAAAATATAAACCTGAGAAATTATAGATTAAATTGACTCCTAGCTAAGGTTTTATTCAACGATAGCTGATTGTTATACGATTAGGTGGGTAATAAACGTAACGGCTGTTCAAGTATTGTAGAAATAGAACAGGTACCAGCCTTATGCCGTGCAGTTTAGCTTTTATCTACGGACTCAAACCTTCATAGCCTTCGAACTATTGATGATATTAACAGCAGTACCTCTAAGATTCTGTTATCTGATTGAATGGTTAGAAATAGCATTTATCCCCTTCCTATTATGTGGAGGAATTGCGTGGTAACTCTTTCGAACAGAAAACGAAAGGCGAAGAAAAAAGATGTGTTGTTGGGATACCAAGACGATAACCTAGCCTAACCCTGACCCAAAATTTCAAGAAACAAGATGCAAATTAATACGCCACATCTTTAACACAGAAAAAGGCGATTTTCCAATAAAAGCGATTGGAACTAAATCCTAATTTCCAAAACGCTGCAGATGAAATTTAAGACTAAAAGCTAACTGTTCTCGTCGCTCTTTGCAGAGGATGGATGTGCCACCTTAACTGATGGAGACAAATCTTTCAATGAAGAAATCGAATACTTCCCCATGAAATGGTTTGAAACGCCCTCCATTGTTTCTTTAAGTCCAGGTATTACATATTATTAGCCAACATTTTCAAAACGATAACGTTCAAGTCAAAGTGTAGCATATTGGTATCTTTTATTAAAAGAGTACCCTAACAAGCCATACTCCATGAGTGATTAGTCTGATGGGGAAGTCCTTCAAATGATATTTCGACAACCTGATGGACCTGAAATTAATACTGTTTACCGCTTGAGACATCGAAATGAAACATTGAGTCACTTTAATTTCCATCGTCTATGCTCAAAGGTAGGGGATGATATATCATAACCCCCCACTCCTTCACCTCCGCCTTAGACAACAATTTCGATGTAGCGAAAGGCAATATTCATAAGTGTATAGCATAGAAAGATGATCATTAACTTTTTCCCGAGAAGCATGTACCGGTGAAAAAGCGCTTGGTTTGGAAAGTGGTATCGTCACAATCCAGCAAATGACGGCATCTTCCACCTTTAAAAAAAATCATGGTCCATCTAATGGAAGACTCAACCACGCTGCTGCTAATGGAAAAGCAGGCGCCTGGTCAGCAGGGGCTAATGATGCTAGTCAGTGGCTTCAAGTGGATTTTGGAAGAAATGTCAGAATTACAAAGCTCGCTACTCAAGGGCGTCAAGACTACGATCAATGGGTGAAGACATTTACTCTTTCATACGGTGTTGATGGCAACCCTTCCTTTCAACTTTACCAAGAGAATGGTGCTGAAAAGGTCTGGTGAAGTACAAGTTGCATGATAAAAATTCCCCTTAGATATTAAAATACCTATAAGAAGAAATACAATTAACTAGAGAATTTATTGCAAAAACTAATTTGAGTAGTAACAAAAAAAATTTGGAATTAAAATAAAACGGATGAAATAAAATTTTAGATTCAACAAAGAGTTGCACATGTTTTAACGAGAACTGTAAATGATGATGCTGGTTTTTTTAAACAATCTTATGACACAGCTTTGAGGTATAAAGCTTTCTCCTCAGATTTTTGTGTCTTTAAAGGAAAAATAAATTTGCTCCTTGTTCGCCATCTTTATCAGGTTTTTAATGGCAACAAAGACAGGAACACAATCGCAAACCATGTACTTATTCAACCAATCATAGCGCGGTCTGTCCAAATAAAACCAAAGTCATGGAATGATCATATCTCCATGAGAGCGGAGTTTTACGGATGCATCCTCTCAGGTAATGTCTCAGACAATTTGTGTAAAATTGATGATTTGTTGAAAACAAACGTTTGACCCACTTGGAAACAGTGGCAGTCTATCTTTTTCGTGGTGGATTGGGAGTGTAGATCTGTCTTGTGTTAATGTGTTGGTCTCATTCGATAAGATAGATCGCGTTAATTATTTGAAATAATAATGGTTTGATGTTCTACTTTTATCCAGCTTAAATTTAAAATATGGCAACATCATGAGTTGTGAACTACGATACTCGAATTTTTTTTGTGAAGTTGCGTACAAAGCCTATTTATACAGCTACTCAATTTAAAAGAGGGATCTTTTAGAAAGATTTGCATATACTGCGTAAAAAAAGAGTTATTGAGAAAAACATTTTTTCTTTTGGTTGCGCAATAGACCGATATCAAGTGCTGGGCCGAGTCGTGCACATGGATTTCGTACAAGAGCAACTCAAAACAAAGAAAAAGGTTAACTTTGGAGACTCCCAGGAACAGCCCAATGGCATCGAGCTTGAGGTCATGGCGGATACCATTTATGTGAAGGTGTGTTTGAAAATTTTGTATCCAAGTTTAGTGAACACCACAATAGCGCGCTTTTTTAAAAGAGGGGCTCATCAGAGAGGAACCTTATTTAGATTTGCTGCAGGTGACAATGCATTTGATTTCTTCTAAATTTTCGGTCAGTGTTTTTAATTCACGCGCATAATGCATTCATTTGATTGAAAACCTACGACTTTCAACTTGAAAAGAATAGTCTAATGAATACATAAAGGTCTGGATCAAAACGGGGGGGGGGGAGGGGAGAGTGCTAATATGGTATTTACAAAGGTGTAGAAAACCTCTTTGGTAAAAAGTTTTCCCACAATTACATAATACATGAGGACTTGAAGTGACAAAAAGGAACACCAACGATGAATCAATACTCCGTTATCAATATGGTTATTAATACGATGTGTTGTGATTCATCGTAAACTCTAACCTATGGTCAATGATATGTCACACAGGGAGACATTAAAATGCGTGGAACCAAGAAGCTGGCAATGTTTAGCCGTAAGCTTTCATTTGCGAAAGGAAGTAAGTTAGATCTCAGAGCTCCAGATCTGTCACAAAGCTTTAATAACCTTGAGCCTGGTGCTGATGGAAATGATGGCAAACATGGCGTAAATGGGACCACAGGTAAAAATATGGCCTTGAGCTAAGCTCGCAATCCCTCTTCTGGTAATGGATATCATGTAAAAGTTTCAGTTTCACCAAGAAAGCTATGGCACTGGGATATCTCAGAAATGTGCCAGAAAACTAGGTGAAAATAGTAACAAAGACAATGATTTTCATATTAAACAACAAATATATATGAAATACATATATATGAACTGCAGTTATGAAACGTATATGTGCACGATCCTTCGCAGTAAAGCACCATTTAAGCAATAGTGAAAATCAGACCTGAAAAATATATATTTGTTGTTTGATTTATCATCTACGGGTTTATGTCGAATTAATTTGATGGCCTGCTCCCAGTTGGCTTGTTAGCTCAATTGGTAGAGCGCTGCACTAGTATCGCAGAGGTCAGTGGTTCGAATCCCGTACAGGCCTGAATTTTTTTCAGGTCTGATTTTCACTATTGCTTAAATAGTGCTTTACTGCGAAGGATCGTGCACATATACGATTTTCATATTGCTGGTGATGAATATTTGGAAGGTCGCTCCTAAAGTTTCTTTTTTAGAATCCCAGCCGCCATATATAAGTTCTATATTTTCTTAACCATTTCTTCCTTATTATCAGTGGAGATATCGGCCGATACAGTGGTAGGATATATCAATATCATAACCAACGGCGGGAATGGAAACAAAGGCCAAAATGGCGCGGATGGTAAGAAGGGAGCCGACAGCATGGCCAAGGTATAGAAATTAGAACATCCACAATTTATATAATCATACCAATGGTGAGACAATATACGCTGCACGCATTGAAAGTTTTATATTAGCTACATTTTCAAACTTTTATGCACTTCTCCGTCTGGCGGTTTTTTTTGTTTTTTGGTTTTTTTGTTTTTAGTTGTCACAATAGAACTTATCCTACCCGTTTATTATCACTACGACTACTTTGTGTCGCAGGAAATTAAAGTTCTTGAAATTGATCCGAAGTCATTAATATTTGCATGAGTCTGTGGAGGTTCTACTGTATTTGTATCAAAATCTACTGTATTAGTATCAAAATCCCTGTTATGAATATTATTAGATAATTGGCATTGACGGTTACCGCTTAAAAGTTACCGTTGTTTTGGAGCGATATAGCCACTAGAAAAGAGCAGGGTCTATAGATTAATGCAATTATTATGGTAAAGATGTCTTTTTGAGTACATTTAAGGTTTTTTTTTTAAATCAAAACAGGAGCTGGATAAAACACAATCAGATTGTAATGCGCAAACTAAGAGAAATGAAAAGGGGAAAATCACTGGGTGCACAGAAAAAATCACAGGTACACCTGGCGCCAAAGGAGGAAATGGAGGAGATGGAGGATACGCTGGAAAGTCAGGTCACTAATGAGTTAACACAGATGATAAATTGTCCACGTGCGTTTCATCACCTCATTTGTACCATCACAAAGTGATTGCTCAAACTTACACTATTGCTCAAAATTGTAACAAAGTACTCTTGACCCATAATTGCCTGCTTACCTTAAACTCTTGGAAAATGTTTCACGACCTCGATTCTAACAATAAAGTGATACTCGGAGCAAAATGTTGCCGAAACCAGCGTGGTCTTTTCTCCTTTCGATAGAAATGAAATGAAACATCTCATTTTTTTTTTGGCTGAGTGTCTTTTTATACATTTGAATAACTTCCTTTCAAAGTCTAGTAATTTCCTACTCTCCTTTTGTTTGTCTTTTTGTTTGCCTTTTTTTTAATTTAATTTTTTTTGTCTTTTGCTTGTAGCTATCGTTATGTCACTGTTCACATGTTGTTATGTTTTGTTTTGTTCAATGGTCAAGTCACACTGAGTTTACCTCACTTTTGAAAGAAACAAATTACAAATTAGTAAGATTTTACTGTAGAGTGTTGACATGGAAGGAGTGGTTCAACTTTGTTTCAAAACCGTTTATATCAGTGGAATAACGTTTGAACTAATATTACACGTTTAGATTAAGTCGCTGAAGCTATGCTTTGTCATAAAAACAGGTAATGGAGGAAACGCTGGCCGTCAAACAATTTATTTAACAAAATTGCTCGGGCGTGTAGAGTTAAGGACATGTCGTGGAACAGGAGGGCAAGCTGCTAAAAATGGAGTGGGAGGAGAAGGTAAAGTTCCACACTATCTCTACCATTTTTGATTCTCCTTTTCGCATATACACGCCGGACATCGATAGTCTGCATTCAATTCTTCCCTTGTAAATCTTCTTAGAGCTCTATATCCCTGTTGTCAAAACTAACTATGCCTTTGAAGTTTTAAAACTGCTTTTTGCCTTAGTTTGATAATATCACCATCGCTTTGGATCTGAATGGAGAATTGATAAGATGCACCTGGAGATGCAGATGATGATAATGTTGTTAACTGCTGATGGCGATGATGGTACATTGGTACATACAAAACAAAATAAATAGATAAGATTAAGATGAGGAGGTTTCTTTCTTTAGCGTGAGATCTGGATTTCATCTCCGTTCCTAATCAAAATTGACCCGTATTTAACTTGACAGGTGGTGAAGGAGGACTAGGTGGGCGTGGAATCAAATGCAAATACCACCGGAAAACTAAATTTATCAGAACAGCGTGCGCGGCTGATGGTCAAATCGAAGCATCTCGAGGACCAACCGGAAATAAAGGTCGCAACGGGCAGAGTTGAGTATTACACCTCGGTGGCCCTTTCTCTAATGTCGTATTTAATATTTCCTGTGCCCGCAGATTTCTTCTTAAAATAGAGTCAACACTCGCTCATTGCATCATCCCTCTGGAGTGAACTGATCTGGCTGTATTTAAGTTGTAAAACCAGAAAAATATTGGAGAAAATCTTCTCGCTCTTGCCCTTTGACCACAAGACTATTTTCATCACTTTTGAAAAGGAGGGCGAAAAATGATTCCAACATTGGTCACATTTGATCCATAAATTGGATACCTTCGTCCCAGATTGCTATCGTTTTTCTCAGGATAATGAATACACCATAAAGAACATTGTATCTCGTTTTACTGTTTTAGCTCCTATAAGCGCTGGTTCAAATGGTGAAGTAGCAAACTCCTTCTTGCAGAAGATAAAATTAGATCGCAGTCAGAAAGATAAATATCCATTGGTGCTAATGAAGGTGATGGCAAGATATGCTGAGGACCTAGTCTTGGTCAACAATACCAGAAATGCCCAAGCAGTCTTTCAGTTTATAGCTGATTTAGCGATCGGAAGAGATGAGGATCTAAGAAAACGTAAGATAATTTGTAGGAAACCAAATTTCGTGGGTCGGCACATCTATTGACTTTCGAGTCTTCGGATTTCGTATTATTTCAAAAAAAATAACACCTTATTTTTTTTGAAGACTAATAAGCTGGTTTCATTTTCTACGAAAATATAGGATTAGGGTTAGAAATCACTGACCATTCAGAAATACATTGGTAATCAGTAGAATTGTAAATTCAAAACAACGATGACTGGAAAGAAAGTTAGAGATGAATACCGAACCATGCGGCAACAACCTTCTTGAATTACTTCCTAAAGCTAATCGCTTACGTAAATTAATGAAACTGCATTTTGTTTTTCAGTTGTAAAACGACGGCTGGGTTTCCTAAACAAGAAGGGATTTGATAGATTTGGAAATAACAAGTTATTTGCCCCTCTCATGAAATGGGAAACGTTCAAAGAACAACTTGTACAGATAAAAGATAACGCTCAAGCGTACGAAAATGCCTACAATGGCATACGGGCGTCCATTGAACAACAAGAAGGTATAAAACAAGTGCTAGAAGCCCTTCCTTTACCAGCTAAGATCCAGGTCTCTAAAGAAAAAGAAAGACTTGTGGAAGCAAGAAGGATAGCATTAAGTGAAAAGAGAGCCTATGTGCAGGTACGTATCAGTCCTCGTTATTCACCTAAGAACCCTTTTAGTCAGCTGGATAGTCTGTCTGTCATATGGTCAGCAAGTCAGTCAGCCAATCAACCACTACGTCACCCAGTCACTCATTTACTATGTCACTTACTAAGAAGCTCGCCAGCTCATTTAGTCACGCACACACACAATGACAATCACTTAAGTAGGTATTCGATCGCTAACTTAAGCTTTGAAGCTACCCACATTATGATCTACGTTATATTCACGAGAATCGCTCTTGAGCGAGAAAATGGTTAACTAACGAAACGCATAGACAGAAAGGTGAGTTAATTCTGGAAACAAAAATAATGTCCGCCGTTTGCATTTATTCTTTTGGTTTAGGCTATCACTGAACTCGAAGCAAGCATGAAAAGTTCACTTGAAGAAATACTCGTCCAACTTCCAGAGGTACATAAAGCAGCACAGTTCAACAAAGCCGACCTGTTTGTTGTTCTTCAAGCTTTAGTAGGATTTGTCTCTGGAACTGCAGGGAGAGATCCATTAGCGTTAATTGGGAGTGCTTTAACAGTTATTGGACATTTTGCTGCGAAGTGCGGTACTGGAACGCTTCAAGACAATAAGGAAAAACTCCAAAAATGGCTGA